TTCACCCAGAAAATCCAAATTCCACTGACGATGTTCGCCCCAGGAGGGGGAACCTCGTCGACGTAAGTGCCTGCGGACTTCCAGGATGCCATCTCTGCGTCCATGGCTGACTGCCACTGAGAGGAGTAGGGACCCTCTATCGCCTCTGCGTAAGTGCGTGGGGTCGGGATGTCTGGTGCATCCGGGTCTCCCTCAGGTGTTATCAGCATGGACACGAGATGAGGTACAGTGGCTGCAAAGCACTCAAGGTCCTTGTGCCTATCCTCAAGGACGTCCGTGCCAAGAGCACACTCACCCCCAACGGATGGAGGATAGACAGACTCAGAATCAGCAACAAGACTAGCGGCATAGTCGAGACGACAGTGAGCAGCAAAGTCGACAAGCTCAGAAACTAAGGCAAACGCAGCAGTGGACTCAAAGGAAGGGTCAGTGACAACAGTGGCTAGGAGACGCGTGACAGCAGGACTAGCAGCACGAAGGGAGTCAGACTCCAGGTCAGAAGGGGCAGGAAGAGAGGACACAAGAGTGTCAGAATATTATCTTATTGTTCTAGCCTGTAGTGGGGTGCTCTATAGCGAGTACAACCCTTCTAGGGTTTGCTATTTGTATCCTCATTCTTGCTAGTTCAACCCTCTTTCTTTCTTCTAATTTTGACATGCTATCAGAGCAGGTCGATCCCCCTGGATCGATCCTGTGGGTGGGTTTCCACCTCGCTTCCGCTGCTACCTTTCCTTCCCGCCGTGCGCCCCGAGGCGCGCGGCGGTTTTCCTTCCCGCCGTGCGCCCCGAGGCGCGCGGCGGTTTTCTGCCCGCCGTGCGCCCCGGGGCGCGCGGCGGTTCTTTGCCCGCTGTGCGCCCCGGGGCGCGCGGCGGGCGTCTGCTCTACGTCGCGGCCCCGCCCTACGTCGCGGCCCTGCCCGACCGTCGCGGCCCCACCCTACGTCGCGGCCCTCCCCCTCGTCGCGGCCCCGCCCTGTGTCGTGGCCCCGCCCCTCGAAGCGGCCCTGCCCGACCGTCGCGGCCCCGCCCTACGTCGCGGCCCTGCCCGACCGTCGCGGCCCCGCCCCTCGTCGCGGCCCCGCCCCTCGTCGCGGCCCCGCCCTACGTCGCGGCCCCGCCACTCGTTGCGGCCCCGCCCCTTGACGCGGCTCCGCCCTCCAATCAGGTCCGTGGTGGGCCCTTTCCTCCACACCCCCCCCCCCCCCCCCCCCCCTCCCTCCCATTTCCCGTCGCCTGTCGCGGCTCCTTCGGGGGCCGCAAGCGGCCCCCTCAGGTCGCCTCAACAGACGACGGGAGGGGCGAGCTGTGGGGTGGCGGGTATGGGGGTGGTCGGTGTGCCTTCCTCCCTTTCTCCTCCTCCTCCTTCGTCTCCCACTGCTGCAGCTGTCGCTGAGGGGGGTGGTTGTGTGGGAGACTGGGTTTAGGGTTTAAGGGGGGTGTGTGGGAGTAGAGCTAGTGGTGTAGCAGTGGGTGTGTATCAGGGGGGTGGGACTGTGTGCGGGAGGATGAGCGGAGGTTGCCAGTTTGTCGTCAGCAGCACCTGTAGTCCGGGGCGCTGTCCCGGTAGCCCAGTCGTAGCCAGCTGTGCCAGCCGCCCGTGGGTCCGTTGCCCGTCCGCCGCTATTTGAGCCGCGGGGCCTGTTACCCCTGTAGTCCGGGCGCTGTCCGGTAGCCGCTGTGCCAGTCTGCCTCCTGTTGCCCGTGTGTCTGCAGCTTCAGCCGTCGCCTCCTGTCTCCTCTCCCCTCACTCTCCCTCCTCCTCCTCACTTGCCCGTTGTGACTACCACTAGCTTTGCTTATAATTGTAAACTCTAAACTATTTCTTCTTGAACTTGTGCTCAGAATGTGTGGTGACATTGTGATCCACCCTGAGCTTGTTTTGCTTTGCCTGCTCTGCTGATTACACCCCACTTTGGCTATGGGGGTGTGTCAGAATATTATCTTATTGTTCTAGCCTGTAGTGGGGTGCTCTATAGCGAGTACAACCCTTCTAGGGTTTGCTATTTGTATCCTCATTCTTGCTAGTTCAACCCTCTTTCTTTCTTCTAATTTTGACAAAGAGGAGACGGCGGAGGGACACGCTGTAGAGCAGTGGAAGGGCGCAGAGCCATCCGCTGCGTGCCAGGGACAGGAGGAGGACGGTGACGCGAACCACGACAACTAGTGCTAGCAGCACAAACAGGCAACGCAGGACGAGACGCAGGCTCACGACACTCAGTAGGACCTCCGGTCAGACCAGTGTAAGGAGAAGGAGCAGGCAGTCAGGAGGCGGGCTGTAACTGTAACTGCGATTGGACAGGCGATGGACACCCTAAGAAAGGAGCAGGACCAGTAGAAGGCGGAAGACCAAGAACCTGCTGAAGTAGTGGAACGTAGTACGGCCACGGTCGCGCAGCGCCTCTAGAACCAGCAGGGATAGAACCAGCACCCCCAGTGGCAGCTCCAACTCCAGCAGTACCACCAGCTCTAGCAACCTCTCCAGCAGCACCAGAAGCGCCAACTCTAGCACCCACAGGAGCACCGGCTCCAGCAGCACCTCCAGCTCCAGCACCTCCAGCAGCTCAAGCTCCTGCAGGACCACCAGAAGCTCCAGCAGCGCCAGCAGCTCCAGCTCCAGTGCCTCCAGCAGCACCTGCCCCAGCAGCACCGCCAGCGCCAGAACCTCGAGCAGCTCCAGCTCCAGCAGCACCACTAGGTCCAGCAGCTCCAGTACCTTCAGTATGAGCACTTCCGGGACCCGTGGCTCCAGAACCCTCAGCAGCTCCAGCAACAGCAGGACCTCCAGCAGCAGCAGGGCCTCCAGTGCCCGGAGAACCACCAGCTATAGCAGCACGGCTCCAGCGCCGAGCAAACCACTCGTGCAGCTGCTGTGGAGAGAGTGGCTACTGCCGGGACGAAGAACCCGAAGGACCTCCAGGCTCAGCACCGCCAGACTTCACACGAGCAGGCCCAGCACCCTCAGGCTCCGCACCCCCAGACTCAGCAACCCCAGGCTCAGCACCCCCAGACCCAGCACGCCCAGGCTCAGCACCCCCAGACCTAGCACCCCCAGGCTCAACAACCCTAGACTCAGCACCCCCAGGCTCAGCACCCCTAGACTCAGCACCCCCAGGCTCCGCACGCTCAGGCTTAACACCCCCAGACCCAGCACCCGCAGGCTCAGTACCCCTAGCAGCACCAGAGTCAACAGCTACCTCGACAGGCCCGACTGCGTCTACCTGGGACACACCTGAGGGGGCAGGACCCTGAGGGGGAAGGGGGTCTACCGGAGGGGGACCTGGCGCGAGGAAGAGCGGCGGGGGGGGGGAGGGGGGCAGTGCGGTAGGGGAAGAGACGGTAGTAAGGAACCGACTCGTCAAATGTGACGTCCTGAGAGGACAGAACACGACGGGAGGTGGGGTGGTAAGACTGCCAGCCAGGCGCGTCAGGGGGGAAGCCAAGGAAGACGCAGGGAACAGCACGAGAGGACAGCTTGTCCGCAGACAAGCCGCAGACAAAAGCTCGAGATCCCCAGACACGGAACGTAGACGCATCGCCCACCTTCCCCGTCCACCGCAAAGTTGGTGTGGTTTCCGGCATGGAGACCCAGGGCTGAAGGTTGAGCTGATGCGCCACGTACTGAACCGCGAACGGCCACAGAAAATGGGGAGCAGCCGCATGGATCATGGACGTACGAGCGACATCCATGACCATGCCAATGCGGCGCTCAGCAATCCCATTTTGCTGTGGAGAGGCAGGAAGCGTGAACGTTTGGCGGATGCCCTACGCACGACAAAAGGCTCGCTGAAGGTCGGAGGAAAACTCTCCACCTCTGTCGAAGTGCAGACGCAGAACAGGAAGGTCCGAGCCGAAACTCTCGCTGAGCTGACGATGGGCAGCGCGGATCCAGTCGATAAGTGACCTCACCCTTGCGGCGCAAGGGGAAGACTGTGGTGTAACGCGAGTAGTCGTCAACGACCAGCAGAAAGTAGCGCTCGTGACCGTGGAGGAGTGTGCTAGGACCAGACCCCTAGAGGGGCCAGCAAGAGAGACTGCCACTGGCCGATTGAGCGAGAGTGTGGTGCATTCGCCAAAGAAGGAGCGGGAAGCACTCGAGTCAAGAGTGAAAGTGTGCAAGGCCGCAGTAGGCGCAGTACCAAAGAGAGCAGACGCACCAACACATGGAGCAGTGGACTCACTAGCGCCTAGAGATGCAGCCTCACCGACACCTGGAGCAGAGAACGCAGCAGCACCTAGAGCAGCAGCCTCACCAGCACCTAGAGCAGCAGACTCTATACTTGGGTCAGGCGGCACACACAGCGTGGTGTTGAGGTGTCCACCCATCCCAAAAAAGTTTGCCCTGTGGAAAATCTCTACCCACAGGACACCAACAAGATATCCCGAGGAGGCATACCCCAGGTTTCCAGTTTAGGGTACCTGGTATCCTGGGGTATCCCTCACTTTCTGAGTGATTTCTACATTCTGATATTTGGGATGCCATGACCGTCCATCATGCGACGACGAAAACAAGGCACCGCCAACACCGGCCTGAATGCCCCGTGGCACGGCGACATCATGGCGGACATCACGCAGAGGCAACATCGGGAGTGCGCATGCGGGACCTGGTGGTTTGGCGGCCCGCTAAGTTCCAGCTAAAATCGCGAAAATCTCGGGAGCAAATGGCGGCCGGCAATGCCGCGTCTGCCGTGGCGCATTCGTGCGCTGGAGGATGCGACAAACGTGAAGGCTTGGACCGGCCGGGCATGCAGTTGCATGGAACAAGTGAGACAACCACTTTCGGCCGGGCTGAATTCATGCTTCCAGATTCCGCTTGTGCGCCAAACATTCCCTGCACTTGATGGCAGTGCATTGTGCTGTTATGCTGATGCTCTTGTAATACGTGGCCCATGGGCCCTAAGCCACACAAGGCTTGTGTGACGCATAAGCTGACGCGTGTGTGGCATCACGGTGATGCGGTAGATAGCAGTGGCATAGAAGAGCGTGGAGGAGGCAGCGGGGATAATGGAGAGTGGCGGCGATGACGTGAATCTGCTGCGCATCCACCTCTCTAGCGCCGTCACGCTCGTGTCGACTGTGCTGAGGTCTTCGACCGCTTCGCACCGGGCAGCTTTCGCGACCCCCATGTCAACGCCCTGTAGGTGCGCGCCTCCTCGCCCCCTGCTGCTATTCGGTACGCACGGCATGACTATGGCGTGAAGCAGCCATGGCATGGCATGGGATGGCATGGCGCTGATCACGCTCTCCCTGCTCGCTTCTCGCCACCATTCGTTGCCCAGACTGCCGCGTCCTGGAAAGTATTCCCATTGAGCGACATGCCTTGTGCAGTATTCGTAAAGGCTCTCATGGGGTGTTGCACGCAGCTTTGGCGGCGACGTGTGTGTTTGGTGCGTGCAGATTGCAGCGATGGACGCGCGAGCGCTAGCAATGGAGGCGCTGGGGCGAGCAGCGGACATGGCGGCCATGATCGCAGCAGCAATAGGCAACAATTCTGCTGCTGCCGCCGCCGCGCCCTCGCCCTCGCCCTCGCCCACTTGCCGCTGCCTGCTGCAAGCCGCCGGCGCCACCAGAGGTATTGCTGACCCCACCTTCACAGGGGCAGGCACGACCACTACCATCACGATGGCCCACCCCCATAACCCCATCCCCAATACCGGCACTCCCGGCACTGGCAAAGGCGTCGCCCAGACACACAACTCCACTCGGCCCACTCGCCACGGCCCGCAACAAGCTGTCAGTGCGGGCAATGTTATCCGGGTGGCCAACTTCGACAACCCCATCCCCGAAGCCAGCCCTTCTGGCAATTCTGGCGTCATTCCCGACACAGGCACCGCCGCCTGCGGCAAGCCGTCACTGCGGGCAAGGCTCCTCATGCGGGCCCCACCGCCACCGGCGCAGGCACAGCCGCTGCCATCACGGTGGCCAGCCCCCACAACTCCATCCCCGACACCACTCTTGTCACCGGCAAGGCCACCGCCACTGAACCGCCTTGCCGGCTACTGCTGAATCCTTCCCCTCCTTCTTCCCCTCCACATAATCCCCCTCCACCTTCGCTCCCCTCTCCTTCCCCTCCTCCCTCTTCTCCTCCCCCTCCCTCACCTCCTCCATCTCCCCCTCCACCTTCCCCCCCTCCTCCCTCCCCTCTTCCACCTCCCTCCCCTCGTCCTCCACCTCCCTCCCCTCCTCCACCTCCCTCCCCTCCTCCTCCACCCCCCTCCCCTCCTCCACCTACCTCCCCTCCACCACCTCCCTCCCCTCCTCCTCCACCTCTCTCCCCTCCTCCTCCACCTTCCTCCCCTCCCCCTTCCCTGCCCCCTTCCCCGCCCCCATCTCCACCCCCATCTCAGCCCCGATCTCCGCCCCCATCTCCGCCCCCTTCCCCACGACCCGCTCCGCGCATCACCCCCACGGTCACTGTGGTACGGGATGGTTCCAGGAACTTCCTCACGGTGCAGGTGTGTGTGAGAGAGAATGTGCGAGTGCGTGCTCATGCTCATAGGAGAAGAGAATATACTGTATGTGCTGGCCTCGCCCCCACATTTGTTTCTAAGTGCGCCTTGTGTGCACTCCCCTGGGGCGAGCAGGAGGCGATCAGGGCATACCCAGTGGGGTTTAGCGGGCGCTACGTGGTGTTCATCCAGTCGGGCTTTTATCATGAAAAGGTGGCCATCAACTCCACGTGCAAGAACGTCACGCTGCTCGGCCTGGCTACTGCATCCACCGTTATCTCCTGGAACGACAACGCTGCTGCCGGCACCGGCACCTTCTAGTCCGCCACTGCTGGTAAGCAGCGATCCGTGCTCCCTCGCTCCTCTCCTCCCTGCTGCCGCCACCTGGTCTGGACGTTTCTGTTTGCGCGTCTTCTACCTCTATTTCCATCTTCTAAGGTGCTCCCGCTGCTGTGCTCTCTTTGGCCCACTTTCGCATGGGTGACAAATCTTTGGCGACTGAGAGAGCGAGAGAGAGATAGGTACTTAGACATTTCCCTCCAATCCTCTTCCCTCCCAGGGTTTAGGGCTGGGAGGGAAGAGGCTGGGAGGGAAGTGTCTGAGGGAAATGTCACATACCTCTAAGATGAATACTTAGATCTTTCTCTCTCCCTTCTCTCTGACCCCCTCAGCTATGGCCAGGACTGGATTTGTAGCCATCGGCATTCGCTTTGAAAACACGACAGGGAGGGCTGGGAACCAAGCGGTTGCGTTTAGGCAGTCGGCCGACAACGCGGCCTTCTACGAGTGCGAGTTCTTCGGGTCGCAGGACACCCTGTATGCGCACGTTGGGCGCCAGTACTACCGCAACTGCTAAGTGAAAGGGTCGGTGGATTTTGTCTTTGGCAACGGTGCGGCCATCTTGGACAACTGCACGTTCCACATCCTCCCATACGCGGGTGCGGCGCTCACGGCGTCGGGGCGAACCAACTACATGGATAACACGAGCATCGTCATCCTCAACTCCGTCATCCAGGGCAACCTTGTCAACAAGGCATACCTCGGACGTCCCTGGAAGCCCTACGCGAGAGTGGCTGTCATCAGCACAAAAATCGGTAATGTGGTAAGTCCTTCTCTCCTGTCATTTTCTTTGTTTTCAGCAATGCTGCTGTCTTTGCATGGCCTCACCCACCCTCATCCCCACACTGCACTTGCCTTTTGCGTGCCCTCCCCTCAGGTGAATACAACTGGCTGGATGGACTGGGTGGGTACAGTGTACAACACTTCCATGTTCATCGAGCGAGGCAACAGTGGGCCGGGGTCTGTGGGGCCGCGCATAGCGTGGGCACTGCCGGGCATCGTGACTGACCCTGCGCAGGTCGCCATGTACTACCCCAACAGCTTCCTCGCCCCCTTGTCCACCATCGCCAAACTCATTCCCTTCCCCTGGCTCTGACCCTCTCTCTGCCCACGCCACTACCTCTCCTCCCATGTTGAGGCTCCTACGCTCAGCCTCCAAAGCATCAGCAACCTGAGGTACCTCTTTTTATGGAGTATGTCAGAACTAATGCAAGTGGAATGTTCAGTAGTATGAAATGGGTACAAATATCATAGGAAACCCTAGAAAGGGTTATATACTGTATAATATACCTCACTGTAACCTATCAACAAACCTAACAATGGACCGCAACACACACAACCCATCTAGTCGTCCGTATACCGGGCCAAACTGTAACAGAGGAAAAGGGAGAGGCAAGAAGAAATGGAGAGGCAAGAGGAAAGGGAGGGGATGGAGGGGCTAAAGGGGAGAGGGAGGAGGAAAATATATTGTAAATTTACTGCTCATTAGTGGCTTAATGGCTCTACACTGCTGATATGATGGAACATATAACTGATACAAATATATGGTAATCAAACGAGTCTCATATTAAACCCGTGAAACAACCGAATCGAGATTGCTGGAAATCTACGTAAACTAGTCCGTAACATTTTCACTGTTGTAAGGAATTTTCTCGATATTCCTTAGCGCGCCCTGCAACATCGCATACAGCAGCAGCTGTTGTTCGCCCGTTATTGCTAACGGGCCTTCGCCGACTTCGGATGCACTGTGTTACAAAACCTCAAACTGCTGGACCGGCCGTGTCGGCCTACGCTTCGGGACTAGCCCGAGCCTCGCCTCCAGCGTAGCACTAGCTAGCTCGCACGCACCGTGTTACCGTTTGCCAGCTTCGCGTATAAATGTTCGCTCATGCCTTCGCTCACATTTTGTACTCGTTTGACACCTTAGTGCAATTCTCGCTACTTCGGTTCATTGCACCCGTAACACTTGGTATCAGAGCCTCTTTCTTTTGGACCGCGCATCTCCGCACCCCAGGAAATCAACTTTTGATTTTTCACTCGAGGGGACTCACGCACCTTAGCCTCTAGGAGCCGCTGTCCTCGCGTTCTCTCGTAAACGCGTGCAGCCACGACTGCGCCTAGACTAAGACGAGCCGACGCCTTTCGGAATGGCCGAACATATCGACGCCACTACCCTCACGTAGGACCGCCTGGACGAGCTGCTGCGCCAGCTGTCAGAATATTATGCTCTAGCCTGTAGTGGGGTGCTCTATAGCGAGTACAACCCTTCTAGGGTTTGCTATTTGTATCCTCATTCTTGCTAGTGCAATCCCTCTTCTTTCTTTTAAACTTTCACATGCTATCAGAGCAGGTCGATCCCCTTGGATCGATCCTGTGGGTGGGCTCAGCACCTCGTTGCTTCCGCTGCAACTTCCACTGCTACTCTCTGTGCCGCACGCCCCGTGGCGTGCGGCAGTTTTTCTTCCCGCCGTGCGCCCCGAGGCGCGCGGCGGTTTTCTGCCCGCCGTGCGCCCCGTGGCGCGCGGCGGTTCTCTGCCCGCTGTGCGCCCCGAGGCGCGCGGCGGGCTTCTGCCCCGTCACTCGCCGCGTCGCCCTCGGGAGGCACTGCGACGGGCGACGGGGACCCGCGCGTCGCCCTCTGTCACCCGTCGTGGCCTACGCGCGGCCCGTACAGGCTGCGCGCGGCCCGTAAGGGCTGCGCCAGGCCCGGACGCAGCCCGTACGGGGTGCGCCAGGCCAGCGCGCGGCCTGTACGGGCTGCGCCAGGCCTGCGCGCACCCGTACAGGCTGCACCAGGCCCGCGCGCGGCTCGGGCCGCCTGCGCGCGGTTCGGGCGGCTGTGCCAGGCCCGTGGGCGGCCCTTTCCTCGCTGCCCCTGCCCTCCTCGCTGTCCCCCATGCTTCTACTGGTGCCCCACCCCTTCTACAGCCCGTTCTCCTGAATTAGGGTTTGGGGGTGAGGGGTATGGGGGTGAAGCCATTGTGTGCCGTTCCCTGCTCCTCCTCCTCCTCCTCCGTCTCCCTGTGCTGTAGCTGCCGCTGAGGGGGGGTGGACTTGTTGGAGCCGTTGGAGTGGTACTAAGGGGGGGTGAAGGGGGAGTGGAGCTAGCGGTGTAGCAGCGGGTGTGTGTCAGGGGGAGTGGGATAGTTTGGGGAGGCTGAAGGGGGTGGCCGCCGTGAAGCCAGCAGCTCCAGTCGCCCGTGAGACCGTTGCGCCAGTCGCCCGTGAGCCCGTTGCGCCAGTCGCCCGTGAGTCCGTTGCTCGTCTGCCGCTACTTTTAGCCGCGGAGCCAGTTACTCCAGTAGCCCGTGTGCCAGTTGCTCCAGTTGCCAGTGTGCCAGTTGCTCCAGTTGCCCGTGTGCCAGTTGCTCCAGTTGCGCCGTGTGTCAGAAGCTTCATCTGCCGCCCACTACCTCCTCTCCTCTCATAGTCTCTTTCCTCCTCCTCACTTGCCCGTTGTGACTACCACTAGCTTTGCTCATAATTGTGAACTTTAAACTATTGCTTCTTGAACTTGTGCTCAGAATGTGTGGTGACATTGTGATCCACCCTGAGCTTGTACTGCTTTACTTGCTCTGCTGATTACACCCCACTTTGGCTATGGGGGTGTGTCAGAATATTATGCTCTAGCCTGTAGTGGGGTGCTCTATAGCGAGTACAACCCTTCTAGGGTTTGCTATTTGTATCCTCATTCTTGCTAGTGCAATCCCTCTTCTTTCTTTTAAACTTTCACACCAACTACACGAAAGCTCAAATGAAATCGGGCACTAACGGCGGAACGCACTTCCCTGCAAAATGACGTCGCAAGAGCACAATCTCAAGCACATGGCACTCCGATACAGCCTGCACCATAGGCATCGCAACACAGAAGTGTGGGGCAACCCGCGAGCGCGACCAGTGATGGCGTCATCCGCCACGACGGAGACGACGACCACGGCACGACACACACCGACGCGACAAATGCGGTCAGGAACCAGCCTCGAGTCAACATTTCTGTGCCGGCCGGCGAATCAGCTCTACCGTCGCCGATGCCGCTGAAGGTGCAGCGTCCGCCATGCTTTGACCCGAGTCAACAGGGTGGTCCTACCATTCAGGCGTGGCTCTTCACGTTGAATGTTTTCTTCGACGCGAACTACGTCTCGGAGGATACGGCGAAGATTTGCTACGCTGTGTCGTTGCTGCGAGGACCTGCCATGGACTGGTGGCGTGTCATTGTCACGAAGACGGTGGACTACGCGACTCTACTGAAATGGGAAGGACAAACCGGACCCTGGGCGCCGTCTTATTTCGTGGAGGTGCCCCAGTATCGCACGTGGGATGCGTGGTGCACAGGTCTGCGCGCTCGTTTCGAGCCAATTGCGGCTTCGATCGCGGCGCGACAGAAGCTCCGCACTTGGCGCCAACTCGGTTCCGTCCAAGACTACACGAGCGGGTTTTTGGCGCTATGCGAGCAAGTGGGTTACATGCACGAGAGCGAGCGCATCGACCGCTACATAGGCGGCCTGGAGCAGGACATCGCTCAGGAAATCCAGCTTCGCGGCGTCGCCGATTTTCAAGAAATTCTCACTATGGCGGAGAAACTTGACTTCTTCCGCCGATCGAGACCGGGGTCCTACGTAAGTAGCAATAGGGGACATCGATCTCGTGGGACGAACGAGAGCGCTACGATACGTGCCGTCGCCGCGAATGCGGCTGCAGCACCGTTCAAGGGGCGCTGCTTTGCGTGCAATCAGCCGGGACACCGTAAGAGCGAATGCCCGGAAAACGCTAAGGGAAAGGGGGAAGCTGAGCAGCAGAAACAGACCAAGCAGCAGGGAAACGCTGGGAGTCAGTAGCAGACGGGCCCTCTACTGACAGGTCACGCCGCTTTCCCGACCCAACCGACCCTCACCGAGTGATTGTGCCGGTTCACGCAATCGACCACACCCAGCCGAATAAGGAGGGTACTACGGTAGACAGCCCCATACTGCTTAGTGGGAAAATCGGGACAGACTTAGGTAAAATCTTTGTAGACAAAGAAGCCAGCCACAGCCTTATCAACGTTGCCAAAACACGAAAACTGAAACTGCCACAGGACCGATGCTTACCTGAGATCGATGCAAGACTGGTCGACAGCACGCCACTGGCGATACGGGAATGTGTGGACCGGGTTCGGATTCGATGCGGGGGTAACTTCACGTTTAGCCAGAAAATGCTCGCAACGACCCTCGACGGAACCCACATTTTACTCGCTCGTACAAAAAAGGCGCATCCAACATCGCCGATGTGAAAGAACGAGGAATAAATCAACTAGCAAGCAGGTGGGTACAAGTAGGAAAAGCGTAAAAGTGTTGTACCCCATATTGTCTACCCCACTACAACCTACACAGACTATAGCATATGAGTTTGACACACCCCCATAGGCAAAGTGGGGGAGAACAAGAGGTCACAAGACCAGTCAAGCAAAGCAAAGCAAGCTTAGGGTGGATCACAACGTCACCACACATTCCGAGCACAAGTTCAAGGCCACAAGGCCAGTTCACATGCAAGATCATATATAAAGGTAAACAAGCAATGTGCAGGTATAGAAAGATCACAGTACAAGCAAGGTCAAGAAGTGAGCAAGTGAGGCCAAGTAGGCACAAGACCTAGCATCGTACAAAAGCGCTGATGATCACAAGGCGGAAGTGCCTTGGTAAAGATATCAGCAGTGTTGGCCTCAGAGGCCACGTAAGCAAGGCGCAGCTGACCACGCTGCTGCAGCTCACGAGTAAGGAAGTAGCGAAGAGCAATGTGCTTCGTTCTGTGCTCCAGTCTGTGCTCCCGACACAAGGCCAGCATGGCCTTGTTGTCTACGTACAGAACTGGAGGAGAACGAGGCGGCTCTCCTAGGTCAGTCAGCAGGTAGGTGAGCCAGCGTAGCTCCTGTGCAGCCATGGCCCCCGCGTAAATCTCAGCCTCACAGCTGGAGCCGAGAACAGAAGACGAGCGGGTAGACCGCCACGAAACAGAGCCGGAACCAAGGCTGAAGGTGTAACCCTATGACGACCGCTGTGTAGCCTGGTCGTCAGCCCAAGAAGCGTCTGCGTGACCTGTGAGGACCACTCAACGTCGCCC